GGGGGGGGGGGTAGAATGTCGCGAAATGGGATAGGGCCTAAGCCCGTTCTCCTTCCTGTCCAGGTCCAACAAAGCGCCAGGTGGCAGTAAAATCAACCCGGGGCTTTGCTCTTAAGTCAACCCATGGGATTGCCATTAAATCAACCAACATGGCATCTGTGGAAAAGGGGGAGAGCGCACCTGTCCGTAAGAACACACGCCAGTTCTACGATGGGGAGGAGTCTTGCTACATCATCGACGCCAAGCTCGAAGGCAACCTGGGCCGCTACCTCAATGTGAGACCCCCCCTCCCCCTCACCTCTAGATGCTGGATTATCGTACCATCGTCAAATTTTTTGTTCTTTTAACAAAAGAACAGTTCTTTTAACTGTATAAACCCACCTTTTCTTGTCAGCAATTCTTGATCTCGAGCATCTTAAAGAGGTAGCTTTCTTTTAAAACTCCACTGTGATGGGGAGGAGCACATGGCATATTTTATCCAACTCCTGCTTACCCCACAAAGCCAGGTTCTGTTTCCTTGTATCTTATGCATCCTGTCCTTAAACCCACAGCACAGCTGCAGCCCCAACCTGTTTGTCCAGAATGTCTTTGTGGACACTCACGATCTTCGCTTCCCCTGGGTGGCCTTCTTTGCCAGCAAGTAAGAGGGGATCGGGGAGGGGGTGGGAGGGAAGAGCAGCATTCTGTCTGTGCTCCAGCGCCGCGTGCACCTGGTGATGGGCTGCCTTCACCGAACCTGTCCCTTCCTTCCTGTCCAGGAGGATCCGGGCCGGGACTGAGCTGACTTGGGACTACAACTATGAGGTGGGCAGTGTGGAAGGCAAGGAGCTGCTGTGCTGCTGCGGGGCCATTGAATGCAGGGGGCGGCTTCTTTAGAGGACAGCCTTCTCAACGTCCCGAACCCTTCCCAAAGCATCCTTTCCTCAGGAACTGGGTCTTCCTGACTCTCCGACTCTGACCCTGTCTCCAGTCGCGCCCCTCCCCCGGCTCCTAGTAGGTAGAAATGGGGGCTCTGGATCAGGAGGTCCCTTCCAATGTGGTGCTAGCAGGCAAGGTCCCTCCTCCACCTCCTGAAGCGCCAGGGGTGGGGAGAGGTCACCACACCAACCTGGGCCTGACATCCGTCGGTCCTCCTGTTACTCCTCCCTCCCAGCCTGTGTGTGTTCAAGTGTCCATGCTTCTGACAGACTTTATTCCTGGAATGAGGGCTGTGCGTTTACTATCCTTCATTTGTATGGTTTCTTGAACGTCTTTTAACAAGATGTTAAAACTAAGACTGTGATTTGATTTCTCTTTCTCGGTCCCCACGCTTCTAGCTCTGGGTCTGTCTGGAACAGCACTGTTTCCCCCCCCCACCCTTCCCAAGGTGCAGCTGTCATTAATCTCTTACCCTCCCTACCTTGGCTTTTTCTTATTTGCCATATGAAATTTAAAAATGAAAACATCACATAACCATGAGGAAGACTACCTTAGTTTATTTAGTTGATCCCCCTTCGCAGTTCCTGCTAGTCTCAGACACTTGTTGCCATGTTTTCATCTTTAATATATTTTAATTAAAAAAAAAACAAAACACCATTAACAGTACATTTTGGTCTGAAGTGGTCCCTCTGCTCAAATGCCAGGTGCTAGCTGTAATTCTGGCTTGAAAACCAAAACACCGAATGTTTAATAAATAAAAATTAGAACTAGTTGCCATTCTATTCCAAACCAGCTAGCCTAGGGAAAGAGGCCAGAGAAAGGAGGCAGTAAGATCTTGGACCTGTGACTAGAGAGAGCTGGCAGAGAAGTGACACGTAGAGCGGCCGAACAGTCCCAGTGTGGCTCCTCCTTTTTGGCAGAGGTAGGGCAGGGGTCATGTGTACCCTCCTACACTCAATTCATTTGTGTCTTTGGAGGGAAAAAAGTAAAAGCTCAGCTTTGGTTTCTGGCCCAAGTTAGGGAGCCTAGAAAGGTGAGCCTTGGTCCATCTTTGGCAGAATGAGGCCCACAGGTGGCACAGTAAGGCACAACCCTGGCTCTGGAGGTCAGGGGGTCAGAGGCAAACAGCTGGGGCCAAATTCTGAAGAATAAGGAATGTGAGTTGTAACCCCCACCCCCAGAGCTGAGGAAGGGCCTCAGAAACAACAGTACACCTTGAAAAAAAGAGAGGAAAAGAAGTCCGTCCCCCTCTAACAAAGGATGTACCAGCCTCCCCTCTACCTGGGGATTGGCTGGTTCGAATTTGGTTTAAAGGCAACTGGGTGACAAAGAAGCAGGGGGCTGGGACACAGAAGAACTTTCTCCTTGCTTTCTGCTTCCCAGCCCCCCTCCCCAGCCCCCAGGGCTCAAAGTGGCCCTGTGGGGAGGAGGGACTAGTTCCTTGGCTTTACGCATTAATCTGAGGGGCAGCAGGAACAATGGTTCAGTCATTCTTACGATGGTTGTTACTGATGACAGGGTGGCCGTTGGCTAGTGGCCGGCTCTTTGCTCCTCCCCCTGCTATAGCCTCCTCCCCCTCTGAGCTCTCGGTTTCTTCCGGGTCACTGCGTTCATCTTCTACCAGCTGTGGAAGGGATAAGAAGGGTTACTCGCTGTCCTCAAACCCCCAAGAAATGCCTCTCTCAGCAGGCTTGTCCTGCTTTACCCAGGGCCCCACAGTAGTCTCTTAGCAGGTTGCTGCTACGGGAGGGAGTTTGGGCGGTTTCTAGAGTTGAAGGTAGTGGGGCCTACAGAGCATTCACCTTTCCAGTTATGAACTTGTGGGCCATGCGCAGAATGAAGTAAGCCCAGAAGACATGTAGCAGCTGTAGCACTCCCATCATGGAATTAAAGAAGTAGTAGCCAAAGAAGGCGGGGTAGAGCTCCAATGGGTACACCACGGTGCAGTGCAAGATCCTGCAGTAGGAAAGTAGAGGGAATTGTAAACACACAGAGGAGGGGCAGGGAGAGGCAAGACTCCTGATTCCTCGAGGACAGGAGTGTCCTCTGGCCTCCTACTCACCAGAAGGGCAGGATGACCAGTCGGGTGATGATGAAGACAATGGCGAAGACGATGAAGATGTTGTTGCAGGTGTTTTTCCATCCCGCATAGTTAAACATCTTGGCTGACTGCATAGATAGCCCCATCCATCATCACAGGCTCCTGACTCTCCCATATATGTTCATACACATGCTGGCTCTGTGCCCCCCGCTTCCTTGGTCCCAGGAACGTCAACAGCACCAGCACCACCACCACCACCACCACCACCACCACCACCACCACCACCACCACCACCACCCCCTGCAAAAAAGGGAGAGGGATGGGAGAACCTGCACCAGAGTCTCTAGGTTTGAAGAAATGGCCCAGGAAGCCTGACCTCTAGCAGGTAGTCAGAAGAGTCATGAAGAGCCATGATCAGAGTCCCTGCTCGGATGTAATTGGCAAACCAGGAGAAGCTGATGAGGATGATGGTAGCCACGCAGTGGATGGATCTGTTCTTGAATCCTGAAGGAAAGATGCAGGCTTCAGGGCACTATTAACTGTTCCCCAGCCCCCACTATTCCTACCTCCCCTTCCCCTTTGTGCCCCTCAACCCACAGCTCCATCCAAATACCCAGAAATCAAAGCGGGGGCCTTTCCCTCCCAGGGTTTTATCTTGGTTCTTAGGCTTAATGCCCCTAACCCACCCACGCTTGACATCAGAGGCACAATGCTGAAGAGCAGGGACCAGTAGAAAGAAAGTTCAATCATGTAGTACCAATACTGGGGAAGGGATGGTGCTCTGGGGAGGCAGCTGAGAGAAAGAGCAGGTGGCAGGGGCCCTGGAGCAGCAGGTCCCGGGCAGTCTCACCTGTCCAAACCCAGCCCTTCCAGCCCAAAGTGCTTTAGCACCACGACTCCAGTGCCTTCTGCCATGTGTTCCATGTGACCCAGATCCTCTTCACTTGTAGGTGTGTGTCCTAGTCCTGTCCTACCTTGATGCTATACAATGAGTCAGGACCCCATTTTCTCATACCTGTATGATAGCCTCCCAAACCTTCTTCATGTCATAGAACCAGGGTTCTTGCAGAGAGACAGTGAGAGGTTAAAAGAGGAGGGACCCAAGTTCTGTGGCTCCCATCCCTGCCAGGAGAGCCTACTCCCCACCTCCCACACTTACCACATCCACAATGACGGCCATGCCAGCAATGAAAGCTTTTATGTATCAGATAAAAGCAAAGGTGAATCTCCAGCTGCAAGAGAAGCAGAAAAGGACTGGAAGAGTGGCATAGCCCTCCAGCCACCCCTGCCCCAGATATCCCTCTCAACATCATTAATAACCAAATTCACCTGCTCACCCAGGGGTACAGCCTCTCCCCATTGGGTGGGGTCATGGCCCACCCTCCCAGTGATACATCAGAGCTTCCCCCTCTGCCGGGCCCAGCCTCTCCTGCCCCCAGCCTCCCCTACCTGGCTTTCTGAACTTTGAGGAGACTGGGCTGTCTGAGCTATGGGCGGCTACCGAACTAGCTTCTACCCATGGCTACAGAGATGAGCCCGGCCTGCCGCGGATTGGTGAGCTCTTCTCTACCTCTCCTGCCTGGGTGTCATGAGAAAGCCCCATTACCATTCTCGGCTTCGCCCCCCACCCCCTCCCGCTTCCTCTCCTCCCAGTGAGTAGCTAGGTCGGCACCCCTGCCCCTCCCCCCCTTCCTCCCTCCTCTCTTCACTCACACTGTGGGGTTGGCCTCCGCAGTCTGCCCCCCTTCCCCCTGTTTCCTCCCCCTTAGTTCCCAGTGACTGCCAGGCTGGGGTCTGCGCTCAACCTGTTTGGGCTGCTTGGCCACTGGTCAGGTAGAAATGTCTAAGGTGGCTGGGGAGGTGCCCCGCAGCCTAGCTTTTCTCCTTATACCAGGAGGGCAGCCAGTGGGGTGGCCACGTAACTGAGGAAGGAGGAGAAGTGTCTGGCTCTCTGAAGCACCTCAGCAGTCCTTGGGGCAGCCCCTGGGAGGGGAAAGGACTGCAAGCTCAGGCAACTTTATCCTGGGCCTCAGTTTCCCAGCAACCCTCTCTCTGGCCTCCATGGGCTGCCCAGAGCTGACAAAGCTGCCTGTGTTCACAAGTGACCGGGCGGGAGCGGGGAGGGGGAGAACAAACGACCATTGAAGGAGAGGGCCTGGGGGGGCAGCCAGAAGACAATGCTGCTGCCTTTAGTGGGGCACACAGCAGGTAGGGACTGGGGGTGCACAGTAGGCAGGGATCAGTGGGGGGGGCGCACAGTAGGCAGGGATTGGGGTGGCCAGAAGAGCGGGACCCAGCACCAATTAAACAGCAAGAGATGGACTTGAAGTGCGAGAAATTTCACTGTGTCTGGCAGCCAAGGAAGGCATGGGGGTAGGGGCAGTATGCTCACAGCTCAAAGAAGTATCGAACGATGAGGAAGAGCAAGGCCAGGGGTAGTGTGATGTAGAGGTCTGAGGCTTTGGCATAGACACGTCCATCCCGGTCTTCTAGATCAGCCCAGGTTAAGTTCACAGGCAGCCACAGCCGTTCCCACCAGAAGTAGTCATACAGGGTCTGGAGCATCCTGAGTGAGGAGGGGGGAAGGGAGAAGGCATCACAGGGGGCAGCTATGGGGGAAAAGAGAGATGAAAGTTTCCATGGTGTAACAAAGGAGAAGGGGACAGAGATTCAAGCCCTGGATTCCGGTCCTGGCCAATGGCCTCGGACAAATCAGCTTCTTCATCTGCAACATGGTGCCTTTCCAGTTCTAACATTTACTGTTTTTAGCAACTGAAGGGTGATGCTGACAACCCCCAGGAGTCCCAATTCTCTAGAACTAAGAACCTTGGGGTCTTCCGGTCATGTTGCTACCCCAGCATGGAGGACAGGCAGGATCTGGCCCTAGAGGCTGTAACCAACAATCTGAGTAAAGGAGGCACCCTCCCCCATCCCACTCTTCAGCTACCCCCTCCATCCCTCAAGCCAACCCACAGCTGGGAGCTTCCCTGTCAGGGAAGCCCCGAAAACAGATTGCAGGGCTGAGGCGAACCCTACCTCCTCCTTCCCTACAACCCATCCAGGTAACAGGTCCCTAGGGAAAATTAAGAGGCCGAAGTAAAGCAAAATGATGTCCCTAAAGGATGCTGAGCCCCAGGACAATCAGTGGACCTCAAACTATCACACACAAGATTAACACCCCATGCTGAGACATCCAATCCCAGCAAATAAGGCTGAAGAACTCTTAACTGAAGCCTCTTTTCAGAAATAAAGTGAAAGCAAGGCTGCAAAGGATCAGGGATTGGGGGACAGACCATGGTGACAGCAGACCAAGACATCTGGTGGGACTAGGAACTATTTCTTCCTAAGGCTCATCTAGAAAATAAAACCCTAACTAGTCTGCAGGGGAACAGCCATCACAAATACTCTCAGATAATAAAAGCTGTTGCTTCCTCTGCCGCCCCACCTTTTCCTCCACTGTTAGAGAAAGGATCATCAGGGTGGTAGTGACCAACCACTTGGATACCAGAATGAGGGAGGATACAGACCTCCTTTGACGTATCCTACACAGCCACTGTCTGTGGCTCCGAGGGGGACAGCAGCTGCTTGGAGCTAAGAGCAAGATGGTCCTGAAGCGTCAGTGATGCCGGTACCAACACAATACCTGGCAGTCCTGGGACTCAGCAATGAACGCCAGCAGGATGGCAAGGGCAGAAGTTTCCAGGCTGCCAGCCCTCATCCTCCCAGGAGGGAAGAGAGGTGGTGGTATTCAGGCTGGCCTTGGAATGAAGCGCTGACACAGAAGGAGGAAGGTGGTCTCCTCCCACCCAGGGAGGGAAGAGAGTGGGGAGATTGTTCTCCACTGTGAATTGGACACCAGTTGGTGCCACTGGCTGAAGGCTGATCAGATCTCAGCTGAGCTGGGCTGGTCCTCCGGCTGCTCTTCCAACAGCTCCGCCCACACCCACCACAGAAGCACTTGCGAAATCCCTCTCAGCCTGTCACGGGTCATTATTCCAGCTCAAGGACTTTACCCTCTTGTCCCCACTCCTGGTCACTGCTCTCAGATGAAATCAGAGGTCAGCACTGACAATAAAGGAGCTTCAGCTTCACCTTCCCCCAATCTCTCTCTCTCTCTCTCTCTCTCTCTCTCTCTCCAGGCCTCAGCTCCTGAGGGCATTCATTGCCCCTTCCCCCTCCACCTTAGCCAGAATAAATATTTAATCAGTTAAAGAGATGGAACCTTTTTGAACTGAACAAAATTAAACATAATTATCCACAGTGGAACTTTACCCACACGACCATGTGTACGACACACTTTTATCCCGGAGAAAAGATAGAGAAAATTTAATGGAGAGGGGGCAAGGTAAAAGGCCTAGATGTGCTAGCACATCTCTGGATCCTCCTTTCCACATTCTTAGCTTAGCTAGATTGGAGGTAGGGAAGTACACCTGACATGTCCCTGACTGCTGTCTCTTAGAGCCCAACTTGTCATTCACTGAGATCTAAAGCCAAAGGTACAGACAGGCCTGGAGATTGGGCCCCATCCCTACACTGGTCAGTGAAAACTGGCAGGAAGTTTCTCTTGTCAGGGACATTTTGAGGATTAAAGATTCAGAAGGCCGGCTGGGGTCCCAGAGGGTAGGAGTGGGGCCCCTCTCCCTGACTCCTGGGGTCCAGGAATGTCTTCTGCCAGTCTATCCCTCCAAAGAAAGTGAGAAGCTGGGGAAGCTGGCAGAAAAAGTGTCAGAGAGTGGTCAAGGGCAATCACCAGGATAGTGCAACTATCTCAACCCCAGGACAAGATAGCACTCATCCCCTTCCCATCCCAAACAGGGAAAGCCAGAGAATATGGTGTGTCAGGAGCTCAGAGATGCAGATTCATGGGGGCTCTCTCACACTTGGCTTTCAGTCTTTCTGTGACCACAGCCCTCCCTTGTGGCCCAGCCTAGGACTTCCATTAGCAGAGGAATGCTACCCCCTCCCTGCCCACCCTTCCCCACCCTGGGCCTAGCCCAGCAGGGAGAAGCACCAGATTCAGCAGGGTCAGGACTTCTGACTCAACACGGGTTGGAGGGGGGGGTGAACAACAGGGGCTCCCAGCGCCCTGCTTACACACCCCCACAGAAGCAACAAGTCTGCTCCCAGAGGCAGCCCTGGTGGCTTCTTGGCACCAGCGCATCAAGCCAAGAAGGCAGGATATCTACTTGGCCTAGGGAGACAACCCTGCTTTTCCAGCAAGTTGGCCCTCAGGGTAGATACTTGATTTTCTGCTGGAGAAATCACACCTACAGATGTTTTTCCACTCACAGAATTTACTCCTGACACACACATGAAGAGATGACAGTGTGTGTATGCATCTGTGTGTGTCTCTCACATACATACACACATATACACACGCACACACACATACACACCTGCCTCAGAGACACAGATGCCACTTTCTGAGGCACAGGCTGGAAAGGGGCCAGCAGAGCAGGGATTTCATGGGCATTGGATTACCAGGAACTTGAACAGGGCTCTGCCCCACCCCCACCCTTTACCCCAACTCTGACTGACCCCTCCCACACACTCAGAGATGGATGAAAAGGGGCAGAGGGTACCCATGGGGGCTTGTAAACCCAGAACGCTTAGAGGGCAGAAGTTGGAGTTGGTGGGGAAGGGATGTCCGACTCAATGTGAAAAGTCTCTCTGGCTCTTAGAGTTTGGAGATATGATTGAGGAAAACAGGATCAGCAAAGGAGAGAGTGACAAACACAGGGTCCCACAGGCTTGAGGGACTACAAAAAAGCGGGAGGACCCAAATGGTCTTCCAGTTGAAAAGTCTCTTTTCAGGCAGCAACAGCACCTCAGGAACTAGATGAAGCCAACAGGAGGTGTGTCATTGTTCCAGGCCGCAGTGTAGGTCCCCAAATTTAGCTTGTCTAAGCTGCCCCGCTAGAGGCCCCAACACACCCAAATAGTGCATGTGACTACAGCCTCCAGGGGCAGGGAGAGGCAGGCAGGTTGAAGAGGCTGAGCCGGGCAGTGCTGTAAAGAATCAGTGGCCTGTGGCCAGTGACAGGGGAGAGAGGAGGCCGGCCCTCCCAGGGGGAAAGCCGTGCAAAGGCCCCAGTGAAGGGAGTGGACTGTAGGGTGCCAAGGGAGACAAGGAACTCTGTTTAGAACAGAGAGTGTGTGCAGGTCACTTTATGATTAAGGCCAGGCCCGGAGACACAAAGCTGCAGACAAGTCCTTATCCCTAGAGCCCCACCACAAGTGCAGCTGGCCACCCACATTTAGATTAGGTGATCTGGACTTTGGTACGGGGGCAGCGACCCTTCCAGCACCGATGTGGGGTGACTGCCTGCTGGAGGCCTTCCCAGACTCAGCTCCCTTCTCCATTTCTCAGGGTCCCCAGAGTCCGCCTGACTACTGAGTCTAGCAACTCAAGTGACTTAAGCCCAGGTTTTGATGCCAGGGGCCTGGCTTGGGGAGAGAGAGAAACCCCCAAGCTCAGGCCAAAGATTAGCGCCACACACCTGCCATTAACCTACTTGCCAGAGAGCCTCCAGGCCGGTAATTAACAAGCTGTGGCCCAGAAAACCAGTTTCACCGGCAGCTTCCCCCCT